ATATATATACGCACATCCTTTTAGGTCACATTGGCCTTCCAATTTCTGGAACTCTGTGTAACAAAGAAAGGGAAGCATCGGTCACACAGACCTGAATGTCCGAACAATTCAAAGTTTAGATAGTTGGCTGTGCAGGTTGTTTAGATTAATCCGTGGATTAACAAATCAATTCAATTTTATTAGTTAAAATAATATTATTTTAATGAAAAATCTAATTTAAAATGAATCAACAAATCCCCTCTAATTTTTAAAAATAAAAAAATATATATTATTTTTTTATACATTTCTAAATAAAAAATTTTGAAAATCAATATTTATCATAAAAATAAAAAAATAAAAATCATAAAAAATATATTAATATAATACTTTATTATAATAAAAAAAATTTTAAAAAGCATTCAGAAAGAAAACACTCCCAATCAGGGGCGGAGCTGGTTTCATTTTACAGGGGAGGTTAAAATTAATATAATAATGTATATATTATTAAAAATATTTATTTATTTAAATTAAAAATATTAAATTTTTTTGCAGGGGCCCGGGCCCCTGCTTGCCGCCCCCTGGCTCCGCCCCTGCTCCCAATAAATTGGTGGCAAGATGATCGTTGAAATGAACAGCCTGATCCTGTGGAGCATGAGTTGGTGGCAGGTACCTTTACTCTCTCTCCACCTTCTTCAAACTTTGCATTAAATTATCCCACAACAGTCATTAATGTTGAAGACCCCATCCTCATGCAGACTTTAATTCGATTGAATATTTAATGTATTTGATTCAGAGATGCTTTCAACCAATTGAAGATTATAAAAAGAACTCGTTACTAAATTTGAAATTAGATTAATTTACTCACCTTGCTCTAACCTATTTTTTTTTTCTTATATAAGAAAATTATTGATTTTTTTAATGTATGGATAATGACCACCTAAATATAAATAATTTACGTGCAAATATTTTCCTTTTCTACTCGTTATAAAATTTATTGCTCACTACTTTATTTATATTGCAATGCACTAATTAAATCATATATATATATGCAATGTGACCAAGCCATGGGATGATCCTGTCTCTTCGCCATTTGGATCAACACCAAATTCATGCATGTCCCTCGTCTTGGTAAATGGTGATGCAAATAAATACTGCTGGCCTGTTGGGTTTAAATTATCCAAGTAGCCATGTTAGATAGAAAGAAGAAGAAGAAGAATGAATGAATGAATCTTCCTGTTAAATATTTATTGATTCTTTAACGAAGAGAAATCAGGAGAGGAAATACAAGAGAGGACTCAATCGATTTGTAGATAGCAAGTTTCTGATCTGAGCATCCTTTGGAATTCTTTGTGCTTGGAGATTCAATTAAATCTTTACATGGGTTGTAAAGTTTATAATATTGTTATCTTGTTTTTCAAACCATGTCTTTCAAGTCTGAATCTATGCAAAGGTATATTAATTATTAGCCGCTCACTAAAAACTAAAAATGTAAGTGATAAGAAAAACAAACATAAAAAGATATAAAAAAAATACTAAAATGGAGTGATTGCAACTTATTTCCCATCTATATCAATCTAGACAATCATAGTAAAGAGAATCAATCGATTCATCTTTATTTAAAAAATATATATATTATTTTAATAAAAAAAATTTCCTTTATTTAAAAAAAATTAAAATAATATTATTTTAATAAAAAAATTTAAAAACATCAAGAGGTTAAAAAATAAATTTTGATTGAGACAAATCCAAATTGATTAGGTTAACTAGAATTATTTTTTTATTATTAAACTCACCAAGGTTTTTGGGGTTTTACATTAATTGTGCTTACATGTACCACAAAAACTATAAAAGATTTTGGTTATTTTATTAAACAAGAAAAAATTAGTAACGAAACCAACATCAACAGTAAGAAATAGGACAGGCTGGGGAATGGGATTTTCAATAATATCTTAGTTTTAATGAGATTAATAGAAAGATTATCATGAACTCTTCAATATTTACGTTAATTTCAGAGTAAATTAATTATACAATATCCTTATTGTTATATTAATGATTTATAAATCAAATTATTTATAAAAGAACTATCTGGCTGGGGAAATCAAAATCTTAAAACCTTGCTTGTTGAATCCATGGCATAAATCAGTGCTGCTCGGAGCAAATATATATATATATATATATATATATAGAGAGAGACAGAGAGAGAGAGATTGACATCATCAGAATTCATCAGCCGTTTGATTTTTTGAATCAACATATATATATATATATATATATATATACACATATATGAGCCCTTCATTTTCTTGGAATTATAAAAATATCACATGATAGAAGGATCTTGTCTCCACCTATTGATGTCTCATCATGTTTAGCAGATGCTAAGAGATTACATATATCATTACCATTAGCTTAAGGCTCTATTTCTAGAATCAGTCTAGAAGATTAGGGTTAATATTCTCACGAGTACGGCTTAGCTGTATTTAAGGTTCATGGCTGCTGCAGCTGCATGTGTTTGTTGATTTTGTCCAAATCTCCCTGTAGATATATATATATATATACACGCACGTCCTTTTAGGTCTCATATGGCCTTCCAATTTCTGGAACTCCGTGTTACAAAGAAAGGGAAGCATAGGTCACATAGACCTGAATATCCAAATAATTCAAAGTTTAGATGGTTGTGCAGGTTGTTTAGATTAATCCGTGGATTAACAAATCAATTCCATTTTATAAGTTAAAATAATATTATTTGAATGAAAAATCTGATTTAAAATGAATCAACAAATCACCTCTAAGTTTTAAAAATAAAAATATATTATTATTTTGATACATTTTTAAATAAAATATTTTGAAAATCAATATTTATCATAAAAATATAAAAAATACATTAAAATCATAAAAATATATTAAGTTAATACTTTATTATAATAAAAACAATTTTAAAAGACATTCAAAAACAAAACACTCCCGATAAAAAAAAAAAAAAAAAAGGAAGAAAAGAAGAAGAAGAAGAAGAAGCAAGATGATCGTGGAAATGAACAACCTGATCCTGTGGGGCATGAGTTGGTGGCAGGTAGCTTTGCTCTTTCTCTCCACTTTCTTCAATCTTTGCATTAAATTATCCCACAACAGTCATTAATGTTGAAGACCCCATCCTCATGCCTAATCGGTCAAGACAATTAAATACGATATTAAATTAAATAATTAAAAAAAAAAGGATCATACCCTAGCACTAGACCATTGCAGCAACTTGGGTAAATAAAAAATTGGAAAAAAATGAGTGTGGAGAAGCATGGCCGTGAACTGATCACAGGACTTTCCTTTGTTATTTTAAGTTATGAGTCATCAGATTATTAGGTCAACTTCCATTAATTTTAAATAAAGCTTCTTTCGCACCTTAATCAATACTTGGAGAAAGAAACATGCGTCGAATGGACATGATTTATTCAAGGATTATTTTTATGCATTTTCTGATTATTTTTATTGAATTAGAACCAGATTATCCTTGATGGCGAATTGAAAGATCTGGATGAATTGTTTTTTGGGTTAAATAACAACTTTTGGTGCATTCTTTGTTTCTTTCTGATTATTTTTATTAAATTAGAACCAGATTTATTCAAATTAATTTAATCTTTAAAAACATGATGAATCGAACGAGTTTGATGCTTGATCATTAATGATTCAACATTTTGATTGGTAATACATTTTACAATTGTAATTAAGTGATTTTTTTAGAAAAATAGATATTTTTAATTTTTTTAAAAAATATTTTTCCTAATTTATTTTTTGTTCAATGTTATTAAAATTATATACATGTGTGACAAATTAAAGAAATTATGAATTTTAATCCCCAATTAACTTAATATTGAAGAAATCAATTAAAAAAACAACATGAATCAATTCATCAAACTCATGACATGAATTATTAAACTAAAATGACCTTAAAGAAAAAAAATAACATGGTTTAACTCGTAAAATTTGCTACTTTGATTTTAAAACTGAGATAACTACATAGAAAAAAATCACATAAATTATAAAGTTTGATTTTCAATTGTCTTTGTCGAATCTAATACTGAATGAAAAAATTTATAAAAATATTAATTGAAAATGATATAAAAAATAAGTCAATTCAACCCAAGTCATCTGTTAAACACTATTCTCGAGTCATGAGACTAAAATAATCTAATGAAAAATAAACTTAAAAAAATTATAAAATATAATTTCCAATTAAGTATAATATTAATTGATGAAATTAAAAAAAAATTAAAAAATAAGTCAATTGAGTTAACCTAATAAACATATAACCTCTTAGAAAAAAAAGACATGATTTAATTAATGTTAAAATACCAAAACCTATGAACTTAATTGTGAGACCAAGATATTCTCATAAAAAAAAATTAAAATAGATTATAAAACTCAATTCCCAACTAATCTAATGTTAAATAATAAAATTAAAAAAAATAAAAAATAAAAAAATCGAGTTAATTCGAGTTAATTTATTAAGTATTATTCTTGGCGAGTTAACTCGAGTTAATTTATTAAGTATTATTCTTGGATCATGAGACCAAAATAACCTAATGAAAAGTAAAAAAAGTTATAACATTTAATCCTCAATCAAATTAATATCAAAGGATGAGATTAAAAAAATAAGTTAATTAGGTTAATTCATCAAATATAAAATATATATTTTAAAAATATAATAAGTAAATAAAAAAATAAAATTAAAAAAAATTAATAGAAAAAAACACTATTTAATTTGTCAGAATAGGTGCAGTAAAACACCTCTCTTTCAGTTTATAGTTAATTCATAATTAATCTTGACTTAAACCGGCATTAAACAGTAACCCTGCAGGAAATAGGGTTGGTAGAACATGTTTTCAAAATTTTAACCGGATCGAATAATCAAATTGAAAATTATATCGATTTTCATTTTTAAAAAAATCTCATTTGACTCGTCAAACCTTCTTCGACAACAAAAATCACTCGATGGCCATACCACGTAAAAAACATAGGAGTCCTTCTCCTTGGAGATGTCAAACCACGTAAAACCGTACAAAGGTTTTGACAGTTCGGAACTTAGAAAATATAACCCTCGCCTCAGATCTCTCCAAGACTCTTCGATGACACAAGCAGAGCTATAAACAAGCATAGCAGTTTGTTTATAGAAATTAGCCAAAGAGGAAGACCCATGTTTGCATATCCACTTATTTCTGCTACAACAACGACAAAAAATAAGGTGAGAGCTTCACCTACAAGACAAACTTGTCGGTCTCTATATCACTTAACTTCCTCTTCCTCTCCTTCCTTCTTGCTTTCATTTATTGCACAGCCAAAACGCTCAGCTTTCTTTGAATCTGCCTCTTTTTGCATACATATCACAGCCTGTTTCTAGAACAAGTTGGTCAAAATTTATATATGGTCTGCATGAAGAGTACCCATCAATTCAAATTGATGGTTCTCTTCTTCCTTTTCTAGTATTTGTCATTAGCGAAAGGTACCCATCAATAAGCTGTCATTCTTGATTATGAATTTGCTGTTTATTAGGAGTGGTTTCGGGGTTTGAAGTTGTTTATCTACCGTATTCTTGAGGTACATGCATGACTCTGTCTATTGGTTTGCTTCCTTGACTCACCATTTTGGTTTCTCTTTAGTTTTGTCCAAATTTTGGTGTCTCAATTGAAGGGAAGAAAGATTAAAACAGGGGTCCTTTTTTCTTCCACGTTTATTCATGGTCAATTGTTTATACTTTATTAGTCTATGCTTTGGAATTCGATAGCCTGTTATCCTTTTCTTCTCTCTTACCTGGAATTTTCCTGAATCTGGGAATTGTTAGCTTTAGATGTATAGCAACCTGCTTTAATAGTTTAACTTGTGAGTACTGATTCAAGAGTGATCGTGTAATGTGGAGTTTGTCATTGGTTTGTTCATATAAACTGTCCATCAAAGCCCTTTTCTTCGTTTCCTGGATTTTGTAGCAGAATCTCGTTCTTTTGTTTATTTTGTTTGTCCTCCTCTTCTTGAGTGTTCATGGACCGATGGGGTTTGATTCGCTTTATGGGTTCCATTTCATTGTTTGTCCTCCTCCTTCCTGAAGCCTGTAAGGCTGGTCTCCAATATGTAGGAACGATCTATCCTGGGTTTCAAGGGTCTCAAATGACTTGGATCAATCTTAATGGGTTGTTTCTTATATCTAACAACTCGAATTTCGCATTTGGCTTCTCAACTACTCAAGATGTTACACAATTTCTGTTAGTCGTTGTCCACATGGGTAGCTCGAAGGTCATTTGGTCTGCAAATAGAGGGTCCCCAGTTTCAAATTCTGATAAATTTATCTTCGGTGGAGATGGGAAGGTTTCTTTGCAAAAAGGGGAAGCTGTGGTTTGGACAGCTGATACCGGTGGCAAGAGGGTTTCTGCGATAGAAATGCGGGATTCAGGAAATTTGGTTTTGCTCGGGAATGGTGGTAGTGTACTTTGGCAGAGTTTTAGCCATCCTACCGATACACTTATATCGAACCAGGATTTTGTTGATGGAATGAAACTTGTAAGTGATCCTAACTCCAACAAGCTGACCCATATCCTTGAAATCAAGTCCGGAGACATAATGCTTTCTGCAGGTTTCCAAACTCCCCAGCCTTATTGGTCCATCCAAAAGGAGAGGCGGATGACCATCGATAAAGGTGGTGGGAAAGTTGCTGTGGCATCTCTCAGTGGAAATTCATGGAAATTCTATGATGGAAACAAAGTGTTCCTGTCACAATTTATTTTCTCAGATAGTACTGATGCAAATGGCACTTCGATTGCAGTTCTAGGAAATGATGGTTTTATATCTTTCTACAATCTTGATGATGGAGGCAGTGATTCACAAACAAAAATACCAAGTGATCCATGCAGCAGACCAGAGGCTTGCGATGCACATTATGTTTGTTCTGGTAACAATGTATGTCAGTGCCCTTCTGGTCTTAGTAATCGCCTGAATTGCCAGACGGAGGCTGTCTCTTCCTGTGATCGTTCAAATGGTTCTACAGAGCTTGTGAGTGCTGGGGATCGGCTCAATTATTTTGCTCTGGGGTTTGTTCCACCCTCTTCAAGAACCGATTTGGAAGGTTGCAAATCCGCTTGCCGTGGTAATTGCTCATGCCTTGCGTTTTTCTTCCATAACAGTTCTGGAAACTGCTTCCTGTTCAGCGACATAGGAAGTTTCCAGAACTCTAATGCAGGCTCTAGCTTTGTTGCATACATTAAAGTTCCAAGAGATGGAGGCAGTGGTTCCAATGCTGGAGGGGATGGGAGCGGCTTCAAAAGCTTTCCAATTGTTGTGATAATAGTCATTGGAACGTTGATTGCCATCTGTGGTCTATTTTATATGGCGTTTCGCTATCACAGGAAAAAGAAGAAGATGCTAGAATCTCCCCACAACACCTCAGAAGATGAGAACTTCCTAGAGACTTTATCTGGGATGCCAATCCGTTTTAGTTACAGAGATCTTCAGACAGCTACTAATAACTTCTCGGTGAAGCTTGGACAAGGAGGATTTGGCTCAGTTTATCAAGGAGCTCTCCCAGATGGAACCCAACTAGCTGTGAAGAAGTTGGAAGGCATGGGTCAGGGAAAGAAAGAATTTCGAGCTGAAGTTAGCATAATTGGCAGTATCCATCATCACCACTTGGTCAGGATAAAAGGCTTCTGTGCTGAAGGAACTCATCGCCTTCTTGCTTATGAGTTCATGGCAAATGGCTCTTTGGATAAATGGATCTTCAAGAGAAACAAAGAAGAATTCCTGCTGGATTGGGAAACAAGATTCAATATTGCTGTAGGAACAGCAAAAGGACTAGCTTACCTCCATGAAGACTGTGATGTTAAGATCATTCATTGTGACATAAAACCAGAAAACGTGCTTCTTGATGGTCAATTCCTTGCTAAAGTCTCAGATTTCGGCTTGGCCAAGTTAATGAATCGAGAGCAAAGCCATGTTTTCACAACATTAAGAGGCACCAGAGGGTACCTTGCACCAGAATGGATCACAAATTATGCTATATCAGAGAAAAGTGATGTTTATAGCTATGGCATGTTGTTGCTTGAGATCATTGGTGGAAGAAAAAACTTCGATCCAACTGAATCTTCGGAGAAGTCCCATTTCCCTTCTTATGCATTCAAGATGATGGAAGAAGGGAGACTGAAGGAAATCCTTGATTCGAAGCTGAGGTTAGACAATGACGACGATAGGGTTTCCACGTCTATTAAAGTTGCATTATGGTGTATACAGGAAGATATGAATCTCAGGCCATCAATGAACAAAGTAGTCCAAATGCTTGAAGGTCTCTCCCCAGTTCCACTGCCACCAACTTCATCACCATTGGGTTGCCGGTTTTATTCAAGTTTCTTCAAATCAACAAGTGAGGAGGGCACTTCCTCAGGACCATCGGACTGCAATAGTGATGCCTACCTCTCTGCAGTGCGACTTTCCGGCCCTAGATAACATTTGCTGAGGGGAATCCTTATTTCTAGATGTAGATTTGAGCCATTTCTGCATATGTTTCCCATATTGTTCCTGTATATTTGTTATATTACTTTATAGTTTTGCCGCACTAGCCATTAGTTAATGCTTGATCGCTTTTGTACTCACTGATTTGAGATGTAAATTAAGAGTGTCGACTGTGACAAAGTGATAAAGCATAGAGAATTTCCACAAAATCGCGTCTTATTTTCGACTAGATTCCAAGATTTAAAAAAAGGACTAGCTGTAAATGATTAAGTTATGGTATAAGTATTGCCTAAATCCTTGCTGGAAATACACAGCCATAAAATCATCCTTCTTGTTGGCATGAATACTCTGTTTCCACCAGAATTTTTCTTCTATTTTGGTCAAGTAGCTCTTTGTATTCCCTTATTTCCTAAAGTTCTAAATGCTCGTCCCTATTTCAAACCAGGAGGCAATAAAAAACAGAAGCCCTCCACTTGTTGAAGAAACTAGCCAATAGGATAGGATCTTTTGGTTCCACTACTCCGTGACTCAACTTCGTCCAATCACTACCTCTCCAGCTTAAAAAAACCTCCCTACCCTCCATAGAGCAAAAACGAAAGCACTATCTTAACACAATCCATTAAAAGAAAGAGTGACAGGCGTGCATAGTAAAGTTCGAATCCAAGTGCGGAGGAAAGGGACAAGCCCCTCCCACCGCTAGGCCACAACCTCACTTGCTAGGATAGGATCTTTTGGTTCCACTACTCCGTAACTCAACTTCGTCCAATCACTACCTCTCCAGCTTAAAAAAACCTCCCTACCCTCCATAGAGCAAAAACGAAAGCACTATCTTAACACAATCCATTAAAAGATGTCTTCTTTAACTATCCTCAGCACCACCCAACCCTCCTCTCTTCTCTCCTCCACTTCTCCTCAAGAATTCAATTTTCCCGCCAAATCAAAACGACCCTTATCCTCAACTGTCAAATTTCGGGCCCTGCCCTTCAAAGCCTGCGCTTTCCCCCCTAACAACAATGATAACGGTTCTGATAATCGTAGCTTAATTATCCTTTTTTTTGCATAAGCAAATTCTCTTCTTGGTGTTGTTATATTGTTTTCAATTGTTTCTTAGTGGATTAATGAATTCAAAATAGAATCTTGATTGAGTTTTATTCTTTTACAGGAGAAAAAGATGATTGCTTTTCAACTAGAAGGAGTTTACTTGTCTGGATATCAACATTGCCTTTTCTATTTGGTTTGCATGAATTTCTGGAGGATCTTAGCGCTAAAGCATTGCAGTAAGTTAAATAAACATACCCAGTTGTTGCTTTGGTTTTGGATTTGCATATTCTTTTGTGAATTCTGGATTATTTAGGTATATAACTCTTGTGGCTTCACTAGGTTCCATCATTAGAGGTTGCTTGACGTTGCTACTTAAGTTTGCTAGGTGGGAATTATTGGGTTTTTGACCAGTGTGAGCACTATCTTCATAGATGATCCTTTAATTTGTCAATGCCACCTGCCTATGGATACTTTTACATCAGAAAAAAATGGGTTGGATTATGTAGTGTGTTTTTATGTTAATTAGTGCGTGTCTTTAGATGCTGTACCTGTTGGTTTTTGGTTTTTATACGCTTATTCTTTTCGTTGACGCTAAAGGTCGGATACAAACACGTATATACTCATAAAGGAAGAAGTGAGGAAGGTAGTATCCAAAGGCAAGGCTGCTGGTGTACTTCGTCTTGTTTTTCATGATGCAGGAACCTTTGAAATGGATGGGAATTCAGGTGTTTATTTTGACTAAATGATATTAGTTAAAAGCTACCAACTTCTGATTCCTTTCTTATTTGTATACCATTAAAATTAATGCAGGCGGGATGAATGGATCAATAGTTTATGAACTTGAAAGGCCTGAAAATGCTGGTTTAAAGAAATCACTGAAGGCATGCACTCAGTCTCCCTTGCTTTTCTTGTTATAAACAGAAATTTGAACTTTTTTATCTGCAATTATGTTTGCAGATACTTGTTCTATATTAGATTTTTTGCTTTGGCTAAATTTCCTTTTATCTAAATCCAGCCTGGTCAATCTTAATACGATCTCCTGCCAGCTAACTCCAGAGTGGGTGCATTGTTGTTTAGATTCTTGACAAAGCAAAGGGTGAAGTGGATGCAATACAACAAGGTGGTTATCTGAAATGTCACTATTTAATGGCTTCAAGAATAATGGACAGTGTGGTGCCTGGCTCATATGTTTTAGATTTTTCCACTATTAGTATCCTGGGCAGACATGATAGCTGTGGCGGGAGCTGAAGCAGTTTCAGTTTGTGGAGGTCCAACAATACCTGTTCAGCTAGGCAGACTAGATTCACTGTAAGAGGCTGGCCTTTAACCTTACTATTTAGCAAATAATAAGACTTGACTTGAAGTGAACTGGATCATCTTATAGTTCATGAAAATATTTTCTACTAGCCTTGTATTTGAGTTTGAAATTCATAGGAAAAATACTTTTCAATTTAATGTAGAATTTTGTAAGTGGAAATTTGAGTGTTATCTACTTACAATTCTTGGCCCACATTATTACAACTGTTTTATCTTTGTAGGGAGCCCGATGCTGAAGGCAAACTTCCTCGAGAATCTTTGGATGCACCTGGTTTGAAGCAGAACTTTAAAAGAAAAGGCTTATCGTGGGTTCTTATCCTTTTCCCATAGACTCAATTGTTGTCATATTCTTCCTGGGCTAAGTCAATTTGTAGTGAGGAATGTTAGGAAGATATTTTCAGCATATTTATCATGCTCAAGTTTCATTTTTACTATCTTGTCTGTGGAAAATATAACTTTCCTTTTATGGCAGAACACAGGAACTTGTCGTGTTATCTGGAGCGCATACTCTTGGAAGTAAAGGATTTGGAAGTCCATTTGTTTTTGACAATTCTTACTATAAAATTCTTCTAGAAAAGCCATGGAAATCTTCAGGTAAAAAAAAGCTAACATGAATATCATTTTTTTACAACTTTTCTTAAGACTAGCTGCACAGCATAATCACTGCACAATCTCATATTACCTAGTAATGTCGTTTGACATCTCAGTGCACTGTTGGTTTAAGCCACATGCTTGAGTTGAGTCTATACTATTCCGAAATGATAATGTACATGAGGAATTATAAGAAGTTAATAAAACTTAATCCAAAACCATGGAAGATTACTTTTTTCTCACCCAATAATTTTTCAAGCCAAACTTTCTGCTAGATAAATCAAAATTGAGACAGAAGTATGAACATCTATTAATCTAATTTGTCCCTTTTTTGCTTCAAAATTTTCTGTTTTCATATAGGCATTTGCGAAACTGATATTTTGATCTGATGTACTTTACATGATCTGCTTTATCATTTCTGTTTTTTGAATGTAGGTGGTATGTCAAGCATGGTTGGTCTTCCTTCAGATCATGCTCTTGTTGAGGATGATGAATGTTTAAGGTTTGCCATTTTCAAAGATCTCTCGATCAAAGCATGTTATCTCTGAAGTCTTGTCTGCGTTGTCTCCTTACTTTGCAAAGCAGTTCTAAGCTGTACCCTCTATGAGTGAAGCATATAGCCTAGCCAGGGATAATGAGTAGTTTGGAATTCAATAACAAGGAACCTAGCAGATGATAGCCATAATAGTTGTGAAAATTCAGACATAATAACACATGCCTGTGAAAATGCATTTTCCACCTGCTGAAAGACACAAACATAATCAAGACTAAAAAATTTAAAGTATTTTACTGAACTACAATTTGACAGTACATCGGAGTTTTTGCAGTCATTTTACAAACGCTCAACTATGAACACATGCCATGTAATTCTTATCATGTAATGAGTGTTTAGTTTGTCATCCAATGCATGTGTTTCGGTTTTTTGTGGGACATATATATCTTGTCTTAAAGACATCCAAAGAGACGTGGACATGGATTCTATTTCCTAAACTGGTCACAGCTAACTCTTCAAATCGTTTCTTGCCTTATCTTATATGTGCTTAACCTGAACTAAACTTGTTTAACTTTGATACATTGTAGTATAGATTTGAATTTTGATTACCTTTTCCTTTCATTGGTTAAACCTGTGTTCTGTGCAGATGGATCAAAAAGTATGCTGACAATCAGAACATGTTCTTCAACGATTTTAAGAACGCATACATCAAACTTGTCAATTCTGGTGCGAGATGGAAAAGCTTGTAATTGGATCAAGATTTTTACTTTTGTTTACTTATATTCATAACTGAGCCCTTGTAGCATCCACCAAGAAAGAACACGCACGATACATACACGAAACGGCTGCTTCAATGGTTCAGTGCTCTTGGATGTGGTGTAGTGGGGTTTATTATGCTTGAAATTTAGTAACTTTTAATTAGAGCAAGAGACATATGGGAGATCTAACAGCTAGGTTGTCCAAAAAGCTCGAAAAAACGAGTAATTAATATATATAACATGCATGGTAGCCAGGTTGTTGAGAACATCCTTTTTGTAGCCTGTTATGCAGGGTCTTAACAGGGCTTGTACTTGGAGGTTAAAACCTTAAATTATGGCTGTAATATTTATGCAAGATGGATTGATAAATGATAATCACACAGGCTCAGCCCTTGTTACATGGCCAGTCCCTTGTTGATGCAAGGGTGAGTGCTATACTTTCATGAAAATGGAAAGCTAGCCAGTAGATGCTTGTGAATAATGCAATCCGTAATGGAACGAAAAGGAAAACTCAGTCAAGTGGTTAGCAACTCCTTGTCATAGGACACTGATGCGTTTGTCGTTCATCGTTATTCTTGTAGAAAGAGAAGTGAGGTGCTGAGTTCAATTTCCATTATATATTAACTCACTCAGAAAATGGCGAAATATAGGAAAATATGAATTTTCTAGCTCGAAGACTGCAGCTTTAAAATATATCGAGAAAATTTTGAATAGTTTTTTTAATAATCAATCTTATTTTTTAAAAAAACACTAGGAAAGGAATAAAAAAAGGAAAAAAATAATAGATTAATTCACTATAAAATCAGGATTGTAGAATATGATGGTTAAATTTCAGTATGGATTAAAAATTATCTATGTTGATATGAATTCAAGGTGTGATTGTAATTTTTAATTTATTATGACCCGATAAAAAATAATAGATCAAAATATCTTAAAAAATGTTTTCATCATTACACTTTACAACAAAAGCAAAATGGGTGAAATAACTATCAGGAATGTAAAATAGGTA